TGTTCAAAATAACGTTCTTTTGACTCTGTCACACTAGTGTGGGCTTGAAAAGGGTAGACTGTGTTGCATATGGGTTACCTTTGGTGTCCTAGTGTTCAAGCATCCTAGTGTCCTAGTGGTATTAAGATTGAACCTTCTAAGACATGCATATATCTATGGAAGATTAATTCAAAATGGTTAAAATGCTGAATTAGGCTTAAACCGGGTATTAAGATAAACCTTTTGATATATATAAATCTTCTGGCAAAATTCGGGAGAATTACACCAAGAAAGAATCAGGATTTTTATATAACATGTATATTAGTAGATCTATATATTATCGAGTCTAGCTAGACAAGAGACTGGTGTTTACCACTGTTTTCATTGCTATGCACTGATCAAGACAACTGCAAAGACAGCAAAATTCGGCAATACACTACAGCAGCAATCAGAGTATTGTATGTAAAGGATTTTCCTGATTCAACTGTAGTGTTGATCAGCATGTCTCAATGACAACAAGAGTAACTTAAATATTGAGTCGTAATTTAGCATCGCATAGATTCATTATTAACTGTTGTGAATGAGGGGTAAAACACTCAAAGCACAGTCTGTAGCCAACTTTATGGTCTTCTATATTATAATCCTCTATTATAATGATTTTAAAACATATTTAGTCTGAATTTTAATCTATTTATTATTCTAGTTGTTTTAATGTTGTTGTTTTTTGTTTGTTTGTTTGTTTGTTTTGTTGTTGTTTTTTTGTTGTTGTTTTTTTTTTTTGTTTTTTGTTTTTATCTTTTGAAGCTCAAACTGTGTTGTCAACTTGACTTCAAACAAGAAATCAGTATTACAGGAGTCATTTAGAGTACTCAAGGTAACTATAACAAAACTGTATTCAAGTTAGAAATTCCAATTTCCTTTCAGAGGAGAGCTGCCAGGCCCATCACCAGAACCTTAAAAGAGAACATTCCTTTTTTTTCACAATCTTAGTTGGGCCATTTCTTGAAAAACTAAAAAAGCACTAAACATTATTTTTGTACTTCTACATTGTACAAAGATCAAGAGGGGGGCTCATTCAAACAATTCAAGCACTGGCTAGCAACCGGCCTGCCTTAAATTCTAGTATAATTCTAGATAATAGCTACTGATGTTGATGCAGGTCTGCCTTTTTTTGCCATTTGTGATTGATTGTTACATGTACATGGATCAATGTTTTAGATAATTAACCGTACAATCATTTGAGCAGGGCTTGATGGTCTCTTCCAGAGTATTTATCTCCAAGTAGGTTCTCCAGTTTTGACATTCCTCTGCAAAACCAAATACTGTATTTCATGTGTATGTTAGCCCACATTACATCCCTTCATATACTGACAGCACAGTAGATCAGCCCAGAGGCTGAGTAACACTTCATTTTTACAGGGTAGGGTTGTTAGCCCTATCCCTAACCCCAAACCTGGAGGAGCATGGGATTGCTCTTTGTCTAGACTATATCCTTCAATATGTAGTTCTAGGGGTCATAGTAACAGACATTAACTACTTCACCATGAGAAGGTGGTGATTCCCTTGAGGCAGAGATGCTGTTCCAGGGTTACCTAATCAAGAAAGTAGACTGTTAGCATTGAGGAACAAAGCGGGGCTTAAAATATAATATAAGGTTGACTGAATTAGGAAACCCAAAGCTTTTGCTTTTGCTTTTTTTGTTACCAGGAAGGTGGTGAATTGTATTTTAGTGATGTTTATGCTGATCGCCATTTGTCCGATGATATTAGAAAACATGAAGTTCTTTGGGGTAGGTTTGGCCATGATCATTAATCTCATTAATTACCAGGCTACTCTCTTTGCTTTTAAGCATGACATCAGGCTCGTGCCTCATGCATGTGGCAGTTTGATTAGCTGGCTTTATTATCTACACCCCTTATTCTTGTCGCTTGTAGCATTCTACATGACAATGCTATATATTTTAATATATTCCATCACCAGGAGAATGTATTGCTGGTGCACTATGGTGGAGAGAACTAGTGGATCTTTGCAAAGAGGTTGGTTTAAGTGGACCATACCTTGTGGATGGAAATAAAACTGTTGTTGAAAAAGAGGAACTGAAGAAAGTACTTGGTATGTCAGCTTTTCATATTTATTTGAGATAAAAATGTAATTGTTTTCTAAACTGAAGAGTTGTTCATGATTATTTAAAAGCAAGAATTAGTACCAAGGTTTTGTGGGTTATGCAGCTAATAGTCTTGGTGCTTATATTACTGCAAGGCCATCTGTTTCAGCATTGTATGATTTATCCTGGAAACCTTTGTTTTAACTAAATTTTGTAGCTACTGTACTGTAGATACTGCTTAATTCCATTGCCAACTGTATTTTTTACAATAAGTTGGTTTGTTTTTTTTATCTCACTGTAAAAATTACTGGATGAATTGTGTGTTTGTTTGGCCATAAACGTTTTGATGTGTGGGAATTAAATAGAAAGTAGGAATTAAGTATCAAGTTTCAAGTTTCAAGTTTATTTTACAAAATAATGACTATAGGGTTCATGTCATTTTTTCAAAGGCTGATGCTTGTTTTCTGGCTGTTCTACAACAGTGTACAAAATCTTTCATGACCCGTTATATTCAAGCGATAATAATATAACAGTTTGTCATCAGTCTATTTATCTGGAGGCAACGTCATAGTTGTCAGTATGATTTTTATTTGTTCTTTAAAAGCAGGTTTACAATCATATAACATTGATCATGAGCTCAGTCAGTTTCTTCGACTGAATGAAATCAAATTATTAGATCATTGAAGCTTTATTTTGATATCAGTCACTTAAAGTCAAGAAATATGAATTTGCCGGTTTTTGTTTTTGTTTTTTTGTTTTGTTTTGTTTTTGTTTGTTTTTGTTTTGTTTTGTTTTTTGTTTTTTTTTATTTGTTTTGTTTGTTTGTTTGTTTTTGTTTGTTTTTTATTCAAAAGAGTATTTTGTGTTTATAAAAATGGTTTAATTTCAGTGATACAGTGAAACAATGTTATACAAAGGTTTTCCAAGCAAAATGTTTATTGCCAAACAAACGTCAAATACTTCATCCAGTAAGCAAACTTTCGTATGAGAAAAGAAACCCAGGAAACAGGTGAATTATTACTATTGGATGTGAGGCGTCTGGGTTTCTGGTTCAATTTATGTTTCCTGGATTTTTCTCATACAGTACATGTACAATGGCTTTTCTCGAAATTGGACATCCTCGGGAAACCTGGAGTAAAATGCTGTCGCGTATTTCTCGCTTCTGGAAGGGACAGAATTGTAACCCTGGGTTCTCAAGGTTGGGAGTTGGCTTCCCAACTTCTAATTATGTCGTGGAGAAAACCAAAGCAAATGTTGACCAACTTTCATTAAGACCATATATCTAAACCATTTGACGGTTGCTCTTAGTTTGCTTTAACATTACACCATGAAAAAAGCCCCCATGAATACCCCCGCCTCATGTACAACTCCCCACATGTACAACGTCCCCTCTCCCCCTCTGACTCATCTGTCGATTGGAGAGAAAAAACAATCATTTGGAGCTCTGCCTGTCGCATCGTATGAGAATGGGTCTATTGATACGAAATATAAAATGAAGAAGAAAATCCATCTTTACAAGGCTTCCTGTTCTTTCTCAGGTGATGCTGCTTTTGTCTCAGCCACCTACCGACTTTTCAAGGTCCCCAGATTAGATGACAACGAAGATGGGTTTGAAGCTACGTATAAAGGTAAATAGTTATCTCGAGGGAGGCACGAAAATGATCAGCCATCAACAATAATACGATGTCGAATTTGCGATTTTATAATTTTAATGCAGATATTGTTGCTCGTTGTTTCAGGATCTATTGAAGGTTTCCCAGAAAAATATAAGTTTGACGTTTTTCACACTTTTGAGGTAAGAAATAAGTCACGATAACAACGGGAAGAAACCCTTGAAGCACAGGTAAGAACAAACAAGGAGCTAGCTACTTCATCACATGAATCAATTCTGTGTGGTCGCTTTGGTCTTGCCGCTGCCTCACAAATCGCTCATTGTAAAACACGATGTTACTTTGATTTTTTTATCATTGAACACTCTGGATAAACCAGCCATGCTAAAGAAAGGTGTATTTTTTATTAAGGATCAGGCGAGGGATTCACAATAATCATTTTTAAATGATTGTAGCCCTATTCCTTTCATTCAGTAAGAAATTCATGACCCCCTATTTTTTATGTCAATAAGGAAACAGCTTCCGTCAATTGCAACATAAAAAGGTTTGACACTCCACGAAAGTTCAAACTTTCACTGATAACCCTCCTCAATTAAAAACGTACCTTCCCTAAAGGAAGCCTTTTTGCTTAATTATAAACAATTTATTCCCAGACTGGCAAGCCACAAGACATCTCAGCCAACATGGCTGACATACTTCGACAGTCACGTTATGCAAGCCATTTTGACGTCACTTCCAGTTCTAGTGCCCCAAAAGAGCCTGTTCGGGATGCCTATGCTATTGCTGATCCATTCAAAGGTCTGGGCATCGAGATGACCAACAACAAAACAGCCAAATCTTGCTGTGGGTCCAAGCCTTGTTGCTAGGGAGTTAGAGTCACATGCAATTCCTTACTGACCAGCTTGTTTTAAACACTTTAGAAAAGCGAATATAAAACTAATTGCTGTGCCAATCCCCACCCGACCCTAACCTACCTAACCCTACCCACCCTACCTAATGCACCCCACCCTACCTAATGCCACCCCACCCTACCCTACCTAATGCACCCCACCTTACCTAATGCCACCCCACCTAACCCTACCCACCCTACCTAACCCCACGTCACCCTACCTAATGCACCCCACCCTACCTAATGCCACTCCACCCCACCCTACCTAATGCCACTCCACCCCACCCTAACCCTGCTAACCCTACCCACCCTACCTTATGCCACCCCACCCTACCTAATGCACCCCACCCTACCTAATGCACCCCACCCTACCTAATGCCACTCTAACCCACTTAACCCTACCCACCCTACCTAACCCCACCTCACCCTACATAACCCCACCTCACCCTACATAACCCCACCTCACCCTACATAACCCCATGGGAACCATAACTTACCTAACCCAAACCTACCTATTAAGTTAAGTTTATAAAAGTGAGGAGGAGAAGTCGATATACTTTGATTGTCATTTCTTTTTCTGGATCACTGACTAGTAATCTACAAGATATACTGATTACTTATCAGTGATTGAAATGTCCAGTAAAAATGGCAATCAAAGTATGCTCCCTTCTTGTCATCACTTTTATAATAAAATTATAAGCCCAAATTAATATCTTTAATCGAATTACTTAAGAATAAAAATATTTCGTATTTATGTAATAATATATGCTAACGTATTAAAAAGCTGTTAACTAGAATATTCAAGTAAAAGCTGTGCCATGAATGTGCAATGTACTTCGTTCAAGGAAAAACACAACGGGATAAAATAAAGAACCACTGGGAATCTACTCAATTTGCACCTTAGAATCCAGATGGCGCCATCTTGGTTTCACATCCTCTAAACTGGTTGTTGGCACGTTGTAAAAATGGGTAAAAATGACTTTTGCTGCGCCCATGGTTGCTCAAATAGCCATAAACGAAAAGAAGAACGGCGAAGAAAAGCTTGGTTTCAACAAATTCTTGGCTTTCACGTGATGACGTCATAAAAAAACTAAAATCCAAAATAATCGCCCCACGAAACTTTTTGTTGAATATGTTGTTTATGCCGTCAAAAGAAAAGCTTTGCAAAAATATATCGATGTTTGGTTTTCGATTTTTTACGAGTCTAATTCTGTCACGCATTTTCAAAGCATTAGAAATAGGGAAATTTGATGGAAATATGTTTTAACTGAGTAGATGATTGGTAACTTTATTTTGATGAATATTGTTATGAAAATATTGAAGTCGTTGCAATAAATAAAAACAATATTCAACCTTGGTGATTTGGCCGACACCTTTGTGCCCCTCAACTGTATACAGATTGCGGACCCATACATTTCTACTAAGTTATGAGTGATAATCAATCGCTAGAACTTTGTCTGAGATATAGTTTTCGTTTCTCTTTCGATCTATGGAAGTTTTGATGTATATCGGTGTAGGGAAAATTTTCGGGACGTAAGTGAAAGCCAAGAATACTCCAACTGACACTCGTCGCTGGAAATTTCGTACCGACATTTGTATTAAAGTTACAGACTGCCCAGGCTATTATCTTACAAATTTCTCCTTTTGACTTTAAAAGCTTATTAATAAATGTTTACAGACCTTTGTGTATCCACTGTGAGTTGATATCAAAAAAGCAAACACGGCATAAATAGCTCTGATATCAACTCCTAGTGGAACATAAAGGTTTGTGCAAGGTGAAATGCTTCAACTACTTTTTTCCAATTTGCTGGTATATGCAAAAGACTGGGGTACGTTCGATACTTGCTTGAAGGAACTAATATTCTTCCTAACAAAAATATAGACCCTTTGCATATGACGTCGGTAGTATACAGAGAGTGCGTTCTACGCCGGGCGAATCGCGGATCAGCCCTAAAGATGACGTCATCGTACTAGGAGTAGTGACGTCGGAACCTGAAACGTGACGTCATAGGATTTAAGAAGCAATCAGAGGGCATTCCGGTAACGATAGCAACTCCAAAGCGATCTCCCAGACCCCCCTCCGGGCATCTGGAATGGCCATATCTATTTTTAGAACAGCCCAAAGTGTGATGTCATAGGATATGGAATCTCCCCGGACCACTCCAGATAGCTGGATAGGTCATATGATTGATGATCCGCTAGTTATTACGATAACGATAACACGGTAATCTAGATGTTTCTATGTAAGTAATTTAGATATTTCACTAGTCTGATGCAGGATCGTAGCCACCGGAACGGTTAGTGCGGTTATAACCGTACCACTTTTTACAACCAGAACTACTTTCCCTCCTGAAAGAAAAATATCTATCATATCTATTATCTGAGAAAAACCGGATCAATTTTTAAAAAACCGGACCACTTTCCAAATGGCGGTTACGGCCCTGTGATGTAGCCCATGTAAGTCCACATTGTTCATGCTGGATGCGAAATAACATTTGTATTATAGATAGGAATTTTTTTTTTTTTTTTTTCCTCGTTAAATTAAGTGCAAACGTTTTTGTCTGGAAAGAGAACTGCTATCTGTATTTGTCTTAGAAAAGTGTTTACACTACTGATATTTTTAAATGACATTCTTGATATTAAAATTACGTTATTCTCATATTGTTAATTTCGTTTTCGTTTAATTACGTTCATTCACCAACAATACAATTAGTCCCTCACACCAAGGGAGCACGACATAATTTAGTTGCTTGCAACTGCTGATCAAATTTATCGCGGTCAGAAGGAATCAAACATGGGGCGATAGAAACTAGAATCTACACTAGAATATTCACCTAGAAACTAGAATATGTAAAGATTCATCTACACCAGAATCTTCACTAGAATCTTATACACTAGAATCAGGCCCCGGGTGGGGGGGG